GTGAAAGCATGAGTCTTTGTGCGGTTCCTGTCATCCTCGTGCCTAAGAAAGACCATACGTGGAGGATGTGTGTTGATTGCCGAGCAGTTAACCAAATAATCGTTAAGTATCGTCATCCTATTCCTCGATTAGATGACATGCTTGATGAGTTACATAGGTCTAGCATGTTCTCAAAGATTGATCAAAAGTATGGTTATCACCAAATTCGCATGAAGGAAGGAGACGAGTGGAAGACAACATTCAAAACAAAGCATGGTCTCTATGAATGGATGGTGATGCCATTCGGCTTAACAAATGCTCCAAGTATGTGTATGAGGCTGATGAATCATGTGTTGAGATCATTCATTGGAAAATTCGTGGTGGTCTACTTTGATGACATTCTGTTCTACTCAAAGAGCATGGAAGAGCACCTTGAGCACTTGAGGGACGTGTTGAAGACTTTGAGGAAGGAGCAACTCTATGCCAACCTCAACAAGTGTACATTTTGCACCTCAAGCGTGGCGTTTCTGGGTTTTGTCATGAGTGCTAATGGAGTTGAGTCGATGAAGAGAAAGTAAAAGCGATTCAAGCATGGCCTACTCCTACCAACATGAGTGAAGTAAGAAGCTTTCATGGATTGGCTGGCTTTTATCGACGATTTATGCCAAAATTCAGCACCATTGCAGCACCATTGACCTCAATTGTCAAGAAAAATATGGCATTTTATTGGGGAGAAGAGCAAGAGAAGGCATTCGAGCTCCTCAAGTACAAGCTTACTCATGCTCATGTTCTGATGCTACCAGATTTTAACAAGATGTTTGAAGTGGAGTGTGATGCATCGGGATTGGGAATTGACGTTGTATTGATGCAAGAGAAGAGGCCCATTGCATATTTCAGCGAGAAGTTGAGCGGAGCTACGCTTAATTACCCGACTTATGATAAAGAGCTTTATGCGCTTGTTCGAGCTTTGGAGACTTGGCAACACTACTTGTGGCCAAAGGAATTCGTCCTACATACTGATCATGAGTCTCTCAAGTATTTGAAGGCCCAACACAAGTTGAATAAGAGGCATGCTCATTGGGTGGAGTTCATTGAATCATTCCCTTATGTGATCAAGTACAAGCAAGGCAAGGAGAACGTAGTTGCTGATGCATTATCGCGAAGATACACGTTGATCACTACCATGGATGCAAGATACCTTGGATTCGAGCAAATCAAGAGCATCTATGAGGAGGATTGTGATTTTCGAGAGATTTACAAGCTTTGTGTGAAGCATGGAGAAGGGAAGTACTATCGACATGAGGGCTACTTGTTTCGTGGTAATCAACTTTACATACCGCATACTTCACTTTGAGAATTGCTACTACAAGAAGCTCATGGAGGAGGATTGATGGCACACTTTGGTGTAGCCAAGACTTTGAGTTGCTTACAAGAGCATTTCTATTGGCCTCATATGAAAAGCGATGTGGAGAGCTTATGTGCTAGATGCGTGGAGTGCAAGCAAGCTAAATCGAAGGTGCACTCGTCTGGATTGTACACTCCACTACCCATTCCCTCGTTACCGTGGGTTGATATATCTATGGACTTCTGATAGACCATTAATTGCACATGTCTGTACCTCCATTCTTGAGCCGTTTGAGAGTCGATTCTCGTGTTTTAAGCTGATTTCTCGCTAGGTTGTGCGTTTATGTCATATTTCAGGACTTGGCGTTGATATGGAGGCGTGGGAACGAGTTTCGGGTCAAAAGGAGGACGTTGGAGTAAAGGGATGCTGGAAGAGGAAAATACCCGGCCAGGAGTTAGAATACCCGGCCGGGTAAAATGCAAAGAGAGGCCGGGGAAAAGCATTTTGGACACCAGAGTTCCAGAAGGGGTCTCGGCCGGATGGCTAAAATACCCGATCGGGTATTCTGAACCTTGATCGGGTATTAATCCCCTAGCTGCTGCTGTGCGTTTTGAAATCCCCGGCCGGGCACCTAAAATACCTGACCGGAATTATGGCCGGGGATCACAACCTGCTGATTTTTAAGGGAAAGAAGACCAATTTTTGAGGGGTTCGGAGTTTTAGAGATAGAAAGTTGATACCTAGAGAGAGAGTGACGAACCAGATTCTCCAAGCGCCCTAGATCGATCTTCATCACCATTGGAGCTCGGCTTAAGCTTGGAGAAGTGCTGATTGATTGCCAGAAGCAGAATCTTATCCTTCACAGCTTGGTTTCTGCATTGACAGTTTGCTTTGTCCCACTTGTGCCTTCACGGGTTTGCTTGCTTGGCTGTGTGTAGGTAGTGCATGACCCGTAGCCAGTCGGAAGATTTACTACCGTTAGATCCGGAGCTAGAACGCACCTGTCGCCAGCTAAGGAGACAACAGCGAGCAAGACTGGCTACGAAGGAAGTGCACGTCGACGGCCATCTGAGCAGCGACTCCGAAGAGTATACGAGATGGGCGACGAGCACAATAGGGGGAACCTTAACCTGGGGCAGAATCAACCCCTTGGGATGCCCATGCAGGTTCCCCTAGTGAATCAGATCCTGGGAAACAACCCAGTTCCCTAGGCAGATGGGGCTCAGCATCCACCACCCCCGCCGGGTCCTACTATGGAGTACTACTACACTCCACGGGTGGCTGACATCCGCCCCGTCATCCTGTATCCGCCCATCCCAGCAAATAACTTTGAGATCAAGCCATGCTGGATTCAACTAATTACATCCTCTATCCAGTTCCATGGCTTGAAGGATGAAGAGGTGATGGTGCACCTTTTTCGGTTCCTGCAGCTGACAAATGGATTCAAAATGAATGGTCTCCACCTTTTCCCCCATTCTCTGGCGGGGCATGCGAAGAGGTGGTTAGAGACCCAACCCCCAATGTCTATCACGTCGTGGGACGACTTGGCCTACAAGTTTGTGCACAGGTACTATCCGGCCTCGAAGACCACGGAGATTCAGCGGGAGATCACTCATTTTCGCTAGGAGCCAGATGAGTCACTACGTGATGCTTGAGAGCGGTACTCGGGATTCTTATGGCAGTGTCCCCATCACGGGTTTAGTGATGCATTCAAAGTGGGGAATTTCTACAACGCTCAGACCCCAGAGAGCCAGAGGGTGATCAAGTCTCTATGCCCATGAGGGGATATTCTCACCAAGACTCCACCCGAGCAGAATCAGATGATCAGTACTGTGGCTGTCAGGGATCACTATTGGGGGCAGAGCACCAGTAGCAGGAGTTCCCGGGACCGAGGTGTGCACGCCATGGAGGCTAGGTCCGGGCTAGAGCGGGAGGTGGCCGAGTTGGTCCAGACATTGAAGCAGCCCAAAAGTCTTATTTCGGGCAGAGGTCTGGCCGGGCCTTCAGTTGCACAATGTCAGTGGTGTGAGAGTTCGAACCATCTGGTGGAAGACTGCCAGGCTATGTGGGAGTCTTCTACACCCCAGGAGCAGTTGGACTTCATCGCCAATGCTCGACGCCTTGATCCTTACTGTGGAACATATAATGAAGGGTGGCGCCAACATCCCAACTTCTCCTAGAATGCCAATAATAGCAACACCACTAAACCACCTGGTTTCCCAGCACCAGTAGGTGGTTTTCAGCAGAGGCAGCCCTTCCAAGCCCAACAGGGTCCATTTTCGCAGCAGCAGCCTTACCAGCCCAGACAGGGGCAACCATTTCAGCAGCCGCAACGCTAGTATACCGAGCCACCAACAACTCCTGCTCCAGATAATCAGGCAAGCGAGCTGAAAAACATTCTGGCGGCATTCATGACTACCAGCCAGGCGAATTTTGCTAGGATGGACCAGAGCATTGCCTCACTAGAGGCATGTAAGAGGAACCAGGGTGCCATATTGCAGGACCTCCAGAATCAGATTGGAGGAATAGCTCGCTAGAACAATACCAGGGCACCAGGAACTCTACCTGCCACCACCATCCCCAATCCGCATGAGCCTCACCAGCAGCTGAATGCCATCACTACTAGGAGTGGCAAGCCAACATCAGCTGTACCTGCCCCGGCCAGGCAGGAGGGGCCACTACCTGCTTCAACACTTCCAGCCGATGATGCAGAAGTGAGGATGGAGAAGAAAGCACCTGCTCCCAAGCCACAGCCAGTGGTTAAGGAGCATGTTCCCCAGCTTCCCTTCCCCACTCGACTACACAAAGACAAGTTGGAGACTGAGTTTGCCAAATTCATGGCAATGTTGAAGCAGGTCAACATCACCTCTATTGGTTAGAGTTTTGTACAGAGTGCAAAGGTTTGTGACCGTTTAGGTTAATTACCCATTTTACTTTGCTGTAGTACCAGAACAGCAAATCAAATCCATCCACGTGGAATAACACGTTGGCCAAGACCAATCGCTGCGTCCGTCGCAACCTTCCTACCTAGGGGTGTGATTCTGTCGGTAAACGGTAAATTGTTTACCGAATTTACCGGTTTCGGTATACCGAAGTTGGTCAAATTGGTTACCGATTACCGATACCGGTTTGTAACCGGTTTACCGATTACCGAATTACCGGTAAACGGTTACAAACCGGTATTATCGAAATACCGTGAGAAGCGATTTCGGGCGGTTTTCCGGTCGGTTTACCGAACCAAATTTCTGGAAGTGGGGTGATGTTGTAATATTTTGATTTTTTTGAGTTTTTTTCATCATTTTTGTAATTAATAATTTATTATTAACTCTTATTTACAATATTTTTGAGGCCTATACTTACTTATATTCATGTATGTAATATTTTATATTTGTGAATAATGATGTATATGTTATATGTTAGTGGAGTAGGGAGGGGGGATTTCGGTATCGGTATTACCGATTTACCGTCGATATTTATCGATACCGTGTCCGGTAAACCGACTCTTCCAACTTCCCGCTCGGCTGCCGATACCGCCGGTAAACGGTTACCGTTTACCGCCAGTTACCGGTTCGGTAAAACGGTAAACCGTTTACCGGATTACCGTTTACCACCCCTATTCCTGCCAACGCCGGCCACGTACAGACTGAAACGGGCAGAAGTAAAACCCCAGGCCCAAATCTGTAATTTCCTCACCAGGCTTACCGCAGTTCCCGCATTTCATCGCCGCCTCCGTTTAGACTATACGATTAGCGACGGAGCTTCTTAGTCCACCCCCGAAGAGACTTGACACATGACAGTCGGCAACTCTAATTAATAATCGTCTCTCTCCTTGAAGACTCCACGAAAAACCCTTCCATTTCCTCCACAAAACCTGAGCCGAGCTGCCGGCTCTCACAGCATTTCTTCTTCTCTCTCTGCGATGGCGAGTCCAGAGAGCACCATCAATGGCCCGACGAAGGCGGCGGGGGCGGATTCGAAGAGCTTGCGAAATGCGTTCGGTGGCGTTATCGCCTTCATCATACTCGTCCTGATTGGAGTCCTGGCCTTCTCGATCCGCCTTTTCTCTGTAATTCCTTCTCGATCCGCCTTTTCTCTGTAGCTGGTGCATTTGTTTCCCCCTGAGTTTAGTTAAGTGCTCGTTGTAGTTGAATGACTGGAATGGAGGTTGGTGCGGGATAGTGGTTAGGGTGTGTGATTTGTGTTAGCGTCTGTAAAGTTGAATTGCCTCAATTTGAGGGAAGAAGCTGCTTGCATGTAATTTAGTTTGGTATTCAACATTCTTCAGAAGTATTTGATGGGAAGGCTGTGAATTAGCGAAGTGAGCAATGCCATTCTTCAAACTTCAGTGTTGTTTGTGGTCTAGTATCGGTCTGAAGCTTGATCAATTGTTTTTTTTTTGTTGATAATTTGCTTCAAAACGAGAATCCTCTTTGGCTTTTGAGTATAGTTAGCTGATGTAGTATTTGTGCTGTTCTTCAGGTGATAAAATATGAGAGTGTTATTCACGAGTTTGATCCCTACTTCAACTATCGAGTTACTCAGGTACGATGACTTGTGACTAACATTTTTCTACTGAAGATTGTTGGATACGAGTAGTACTCCATTACATTATTTGTAGGGTGATTGCTGAATAGTTTTCACGGTTTCAGTTCTTGTCAAAGAATGGGATATACGACTTCTGGAACTGGTTTGATGATCGAACATGGTAATTGGAATGATTGCTGTTCCAGAGTGTCCTCATGCTTTGTTCTCTGTGTCTTGGTCACTATATTTTATCATATAATTATGCAGAAATCTCATTGTTGTCTTAATTTCACACAAGGTATCCTCTCGGCCGTGTAATTGGTGGAACTGTTTATCCGGGTTTGACCTTGACAGCTGGCACAATTTGGAAGTGAGTTCTTAGATTTTTTTTTTTTTATAATCGAAGTGAGTTCTTAGATTTAATTGTAAGCCATGTGTGATTTCCATTTTTCATGATCTATGCATTACAGCAGTTGGCAGTTAGGTTTGTTGCACTAGCAAAACTATAATTTAGATGAAGTTTTGTGCATAACTGAGTTCTATATGGGTTTATTTCTCACTCTGTTAACAGGGTGGTGAATTCCTTAAACATTCCTCTGTCAGTAGAGACTGTTTGTGTGTTTACAGCACCAATTTTCTCTGCCTTCGCTTCGTGGGCAGCTTATCTACTGACTAAGGTTTGTTTTCTCTGACTATTGTCTTGGTGTAGGATATAGTGGTGGTTTACTGAGAAACCTTAAATTTCTCTTTTCTGTAGGAAGTTAAGGGTCCTGGAGCTGGACTCACAGCTGCTGCTCTCTTGGCCATGGTAAATTGTAGAATGGGTATTTGTGATATGTGATGTGCTAGATAACATGCTAACAAGCCACCTGATACTTCTTTTTGATTATTTACTTTATTTGTTCTCCCCTCAGGTTCCATCATACATATCTCGGTCTGTGGCAGGAAGCTATGACAATGAAGCAGTTGCTATATTTGCATTGGTCTTCACATTCTATCTTTATATTAAGGTTAGTTCAGAACGCAGAAGCATTAAAATGGTATTTCTTTTAGTGTTTTTGCCTATAGCCTATGCTGTTCCTAGCTCTCCTTAAGCATAATAAGCTCTTTGTTAATCAATGCTTACTTATTGGCAGACGCTGAATACGGGGTCCCTTTTCTATGCAACTCTAAATGCCTTAGCATACTTTTACATGGTAAGGTTTGTGCTACTGTTTTATAGCTTACTATAAGACATACTGCATATCTTCATTTGCTGTGGAATTGTTTCGTTGCAGGTGTGCTCATGGGGTGGCTACACCTTCATTATTAATCTGATTCCGATGCACGTGCTTCTCTGCATTGTAACGGGTCGTTATTCCTCTCGACTGTACATTGCTTATGCACCTCTTGTAAGTATTCAGAACTTCCGGACCAGAATGGTAGAGAAATGAAAACATATCACATTATCATAGTTCCATAATTTTTTTAGTTGGTTGTGACTCTTCGAGACGATCATCATTCTTAAAATATCAGTGTTTTTGCTTCTAGTTATAGGCCGCATGGAGTGGGACCTAATGTTAATATGATGGTCTCATGGCCATTTAATATGAAATGTTTAGTATATTTCAATATCAAATTCATCTTTTTTTCCCCATGCGTTGTGGATTTATGAATTTGGATATTTTTCTTGATGCTGTTATTTGTTTATGCAGGTGGTATTGGGTACTTTGCTAGCTGCTTTGGTGCCTGTTGTTGGGTTTAATGCCGTTTTGACATCAGAACATTTCGCTTCATTTCTGGCAAGTTACATTTCTGCATTTTTACTAGTTTTCCTCTTATTGTTCTTCTCTGTCATTGTTTGCTTTTCATGACATCAGCTTCTTGTGCTCTAGGATTGAGAGCAACCATATGTTAGTCAATAATTCTACCCAGTATTCTGTCCTTCTGGATCATGGAATGAGAGACTTCTGGCACTGAATGATACCAGGAGGGACACATTCTATATAGGTTGTCAGTGTATGCACACTTAATTGTTCCAGTACTGATTTTATTCAGTACATGAAGTAGACGTGTCCCTTACGAGGAAGAACTGATATAGCATAATGGTGGTCAATCATTGTCTTCTTTGCTTCCCAGGCTGTTTCTCATCTCAGTTGGCCAGCTGTGTCCATCTATCTAGTTCTTATTATTTCATTGTGCAGGTTTTCATTATCATCCATGTTGTGGCGCTTGCATACTATATTAAAGGGATCCTCTCCCCAAAAATGTTCAAAGTTGCTGTCACACTTGTTGTGTCTGTTGGCCTGTAAGCTTTCTTACCGTTCATGAGATATTATATTTGCAAGACAAATACTTATTAATATAAGGACTGCAGCAGACGAAGTTGATTTTGATTCGTCTCATGACTTCTCATGTGCTATATGCAATGATATTAATATCCACTGTTTGTCTATTTTCTATTTCCCCCCCCAGAGCAGTCTGTTGTGCGGTCATAGCAATTCTGATAGCAGTTGTGGCATCCAGCCCGACAAAGGGATGGAGTGGACGAAGTCTAACCCTGCTTGATCCGTATGTAACTTCTGATTTCATTGTCTCCATTTGAGTCTACTGGATCATTTGAGTCTGTCTAGTAGCAATAACTCCCATCACAGTGCAGCGTGCAAAATGCAATGATCATTTTGTGGCCGATACGAAAGTGTCATTTTGGATTGGATCGACCACTTGGTTGATGTCTTTGGCTTCCTGGGTTGTGTCTCTTATCTTCGACCTTCTCTGTGGAATATGACAGGACTTACGCCAGCAAGTACATACCAATTATCGCTAGTGTTAGTGAACATCAGCCTCCTACTTGGCCATCGTACTTCATGGACATCAATGTGTTAGCTTTCCTGGTTCCAGCTGGGATTATTGTGAGTTGCCTGGTTTAATGTAAGTTTGATTTCTCAGTAATTATCACTTTTGGCTGTCTCAACAGGGGTTATATCTGATTTTGCAGGCCTGCTTCATGCCCTTATCCGACTCAAGCTCTTTTGTCATCCTTTATATTGTGACTTCTGTTTATTTCTCTGGAGTCATGGTAGGAAAAGACTCTGGCCCATCTGCCTTCAGTTGGTATTTTTCTCTCTAGTCCGTCTCATGTAGCTGTACATGTTACTTGTTTGGTAATCCTTGTTTTAGGTACGGTTGATGCTTGTACTTGCTCCAGCAGCATGCATCTTGTCTGGCATTGCATTGTCTGAAGCTTTTAATGTCTTGACTCGATCAATCAAGTTTCAGCTACCTGGTATAGCAGGGAACTCCACTGTTGCTGTAAGAATGTGGTGTATTATAAGTACCCCCAGTTATCGTTTTTTTATATTTATACTCCAAACTGAAATTTCATAAACCATTTTCATCTTGTAGTCAGAGGAAAATGGTTCAAGTTCTGTTGTGGCACCAAGCGACGTATCGAAGACTGAGAAGACTGAAGAAGTTGCAAAAGAAAAACCAGTGAAAAAGAACAGGAAGAAAGAAAAGGAGAATGTGGAGAAGAAGCCCACACCATCCAAAACTGAGAGGAGGCTTCTTGTATTACCTCTGGAAGCATCAGTCATTGCTGTTCTCTTGCTTGTATTGCTTGGTGCCTTCTATGTGGTACGCAACCTCTTCCTTTGAAGGATTTGAAGTAAATCTCTGTAATGATGCTTGGTGCCATCTGTGTTCGAAGCTTCTAACTTGTGTCTGAGAAAATTATACTTTTTGTAAATAGATTCCTAACTACGAACATGCAAATGTGCTAATTTAAGTTCATTAGCCACTCGAGGCCTGGAATGTTAAGGTTGTTGATAGTTAGTCAGGTTTAACACTTAGTTTCTATTTAAAGAATAGAGAAATGCATTGTGCCTTCGTTATGCACTTCTCTGGGGAAGTATTTACCGAGATGGGCTAGAATGGGGATATAGAACTGATTGGAAATCGCTCTTTTTTTGTACAGGTTCATTGTGTATGGGCAGCAGCAGAAGCTTATTCAGCCCCTTCCATTGTTCTAACATCTCAGTCGAATGATGGTGGCTTGCATGTCTTTGATGATTTTAGAGAGGCTTATTCATGGCTGAGCCACAATACTGACGTGGATGATAAAGTATGATTACTCCCTGCTCTCTTTTCCTTCCAAAATGTCACTTTATTGTTAGAACTTGCAAAAGGCATGTGGGCAGCATAAATAAAATCAGCTATTTTTTTTTTTGTTGAAAATAGGATATTTACATATCTTCTGAATGGTACATAATGCATCAGTGCTTACACAAAATGAGACATATGAATGGGTTTTGACAATTGTAGGTTGCGTCATGGTGGGACTATGGCTACCAAACAACTGCTATGGCTAACCGCACTGTTCTTGTCGACAACAACACCTGGAACAACACTCATATAGCTACTGTTGGCACAGCCATGTCTTCCCCTGAGAAGCAAGCGTGGGAGATCTTCCATTCACTGGATGTGAAATATGTCCTAGTAGTCTTTGGAGGTGTGCTTCCGGTTTTGATCTTCCTAAAATCCAGCATTTACTTTTAATCTTTTTGAATCACCATTTCTGAAGTAAAAATTTAATTGTTACAGGTCTTGTTGGATACCCTAGTGATGATATCAATAAGTTCCTTTGGATGGTTCGGATTGGAGGTGGCGAGTTCCCTCACATCAAAGAACCTGATTACCTGGTAAGTTTCTCCTACTTCCACATTCTGATATCTCAAAACCGTTGCTGGACAGTTGCCATAAGCCCATAACTACTCGCTCACCTGTTTGTTTGTGTGTCTCAAGAGAGACGGGCAATACCGGATTGACGCTCAAGCTACTCCTACCATGTTGAACTGTCTTATGTACAAGCTGTCATACTTCAGGTCAGATTTTGCTTCCAAATTTTAAATGGCTACTTCTATAAAATCAGTTGAAAGGGAACAGATCCATTATGAGATAGTTGAACTATAATTGAACTGCTGGATGGTCAGGTTTGTGGAAACAGACGGGAAAGGATTTGACAGAGTAAGACGGACAGAAATAGGCAAGAAACATTTCAAGCTCACTCATTTCGAAGAGGTTGGTTGATTCCTAGCTCCTCTCAACGCCCTATATCGAAGCTATGCGGTAACATGTTTTGATCAAATATTGGGTCGATCGTGAAAATCAGGTATTCACCACTCACCATTGGATGGTACGGATCTACAAACTGAAGCCTCCAAGGAACAGAATCCGCGGCAAGACAAAGAAATCCAAGTCTTCGGTACGTGTTTAGGGAGTGGATGACATGTCTAACTCGTCATCTCTTTCCATGTTTCCCTGTGCCAGTTTTGACATTTTCAACTGCTGCGTTCATGTTTTGTTGATAGCAGAGATCGGTTAGCTCAAAGAGAGATGTAAAGGGAAAGAGGAATCCTTGGCACTAAGGGTATAAACTTCAATCTCATACTACGAAGCCAACGTCATCCTTCCCTGTATATGTGTAAACATAACGCGTATATGCTACGTCCTCTTCGAGAGGTACAGAGCTTGGTGAAGCAGTCAAAAGGGAGAGATTTTTGCAGGACTATCTCCATCCATTGGGTTTCTTTTTGTTGTGACAAAACTTCGACTAGAGATTAACATGGTACATTTTGGATGAAATTCTACCAGTCCGACTAGTGCAAGTTGTGGATTCATCTCTTCTACGTTTTAAAGTAAAGTAGCCGTGATGCCCGTTCCTGCTTCCGATCGTGGCTGGACTTAAGATTCGGTCGCTAAAGAGCTTGGAGGCAGTGGGTCTTGGGTGAACTGAGTCGAGTTGTTAACTAGCTATGTCCGATGACATAACATTTATTGTTCGCTTTAGGGCAGTGACTATTTTGCTACGAAATGAACAGGATTTTGTGACAACTTGTTTACCTTTTAGTGACGAGTTCGTCATTGAGGAAACTGTAGCAAGTACCAACCATTCAGGTTAGCTTTTTAATGGAATGGATATATGCAAAAAGATAAAATCAATGTTAGATATAAACTTACAGCACATAACCCACCCAGCTAAGTGCTAACAAGGTCGAAAACCCCCAACTCAAAAGCGGATAAAGACGGGACCTTTCGAGCCTACATATATGCAGGCAATTTGCGGCCCCTGAGAGTAGCTGAAAGTGCAATGCTGCTATCAAAAACCTTTGCCAGGATGAATTCATTTGCCCGGGCATCGATGCTCCGATCCCGAAGCTGACAAATAGGAACCTGGGGGTCTCCCTAACCAATTGCCCCACTGAATCAGAGTCTCCCAAAGTAGGGGGTAGAGGGTAAAATACGATAATGCGGAAGCAAAAGTAAACGACACAAAAAATTACGTAGTATTCCCGTTCAATATGAACGGGACTAATCCACGGAGAGCTAGAAGCTCTCGGCTGAAGTTTTACTAGTCGTCTGTAGTTTCTTGGAGAGAGGCGGGAGGCGGCCAACTCTCTTAAGTACAAAGCAAACGAAATCCTAATCCCATATATGTGGGATTTAGGCAAATAATAGAAGGACCCCTACTAATATGGTAAATTACAAAAGAGATCCCCAATACACCCCCTCAAGCGAAGGAGAGAATATCAAGAAGTCCGAACTTGCCGAAGAGATGATGAAACTGATCAACACTCTCAATCCCTTCGTGAACAAATCAGCTGACTGATCGGCAGTGGCAATCTTTCGAGGAGCAACATCACGAGACTGAACACGTTCCGGAACGAAGTAACAATCCATCTCAACGTGTTTAGTCCGCTCGTGAAAAACAGGGTTAGCAGCAATGTGCAAAGCTGCTTGATTATCACAAAAGAACGGAGTCGGACCAGTGGAGGGGACACCCAAGTCACGCAGCAACCAGCGAAGCCAAAGAACTTCACTCACTGTGTTGGCCATGGCGCGATATTCAGCTTTAGCTGAAGAGCGGGCAACAACAGTCTGCTTCTTAGTACTTCAGGAGATAGGAGACGACCCAAGCATGATGAAATACCCAGTAGTAGAGTGGCGAGTGAGGGGACAACCACCCCAGTCTGCATCACAAAAAGCAGTGAGAGTGGGAGAGGATGAAGCAGAGAGAAAAATACCACGACCAGGAGCAGCCTTTAGATAGCGCAACACGCGAATGGCGGCATCCTCGTGAGCCTTTGTGGGATTCTGTATCGCCTAACTAAGGATGTTGACAGCATAAGTGATGTCTGGCCTAGTAACAGTGAGGTAAAGCAAACGCCCAACAAGCCGACGAAAAGCACTAGTGTCAGCAGCAGGAGGAGAAGGAAGTTGCGCAAGATGATGTTGTTGTTCGATAGGAGTAAGGCTGAGACGAGCGGCTTCGAGACCGGTATCAGCAAGAATGTCCAGGACATACTTGCGCTGATTAAGAACAATACCACGAGGAGAGCGAGCTACCTCAATACCCAAGAAATATTTCAGAGTACTAAGGTCCTTGATAGTGAACCGCTCGTGAAGAAAACTCTTAACCCGATTGATGAAGGGAAAATCTGTTCTAGCTAAAACAACATCATCAACATAGATAAGAGCAGCAACATAGGACGAGCCGCGACGATAGACAAAGAGAGCGTGATCAGCACGACTCTAAATAAAACCAAGCTGAAGAAGAGCTTGCGTAAACTTCTGGTACCAATTACGAGAAGCCTACTTTAACCCTTAAATAGACTTGCGTAAGCGACAAACACGAGTGTCACCGGGAATAGCAAACCCCTATGGAACGACCATATAAACTTCCTCATCAAGGTCACCATGGAGGAAAGCATTATTCACGTCGAGCTGGTGAATGTACCAATCCGAGTCATCATCGTCGAAGGCTGCAGAAGAAGAACCGAAACGAGGATTGGAAACAACAACTGGAGAAAGCTGAGAACTATCCACAAGGTCACGATAAGGATAAATATCTTCCAAAAACTTGACGTCCTGCGATGAATAAATGACGTGACGCTCAAGATCATATACGCGGAAACTGCGTTGATGAGCAGGATAACCAAGAAATATACTAGCTCTTCCACGTTCGCCAAATTTATGTAACCCACGATGGTTATCCTTAGCATAGACCAAACAACCAAAGCTGCGAAGATGAGCATAAGAAGGGTCACTGCCGAATAAAATCTGATATGGAGTCTTATGCCCAACACTAACGAGAGACATTCTATTTATCAGATAGGCTGCCGTTAGAATGCACTCTCCCTAGAAATGGATAGGTAGGTTCGCATGAAACCGCAAAGAACGCGCAGTGTCGAGAAGATGACGATGTTTGCGCTCGACGACCCCATTTTGCTGTGGAGTATCAGTGCAGGAGGTCTGCAATATAATACTGGTCTCTTCATAGTAGGCAGTTAAGACATTAGTAGAGAATTCAGGTCCATTGTCTGCTTGAATTTTCTGAACCTGCTTATCGAATCGAGTTCGAACCATATTGCAGAAGTAGAGAATATAACGACCAGAAGTAGAGAATATAACGACCAACATATGATTTATGGCGCATAAAAAATACCCAGACAACTCGACTGTAATAATCAACAATAGTCAAGAAAAAATGTGCACCAGAAGTAGATGCAGTCTTATAACTGCCCCACATATCCATACGCAGAAGCTCAAAACATGACGTGGTCTTAATGCTACTAGAAACAAAAGGATCACGTGTTTGCTTAGCACGTAAACAAGACCGACAAGGTTCTGAAGACCGAGTAAAAGAACAATCAACAAACTGCCCCAAAATGGTGAGTTTCCCAGAAGAAGGATGCCCCAGACGTGCATGCCATAACTCCGTTTCGCTCATGGTCCTGCGAACTGAATGTGCGACGGGAAGACTCTCATCCAGCAACTTGAGATGATACAGCCCATCAACGTGTTTACCCATCCCAATCAGCTTCTTGGAGGGTAAGTCCTGGATAATACAAAAGTTACTTTAGAAGATAAATGTAACCGGAAGATCGGCAGTAAGACGATTGACTGAGAGCAAGTTGCACTGAAAATCGGGAACATGTAGAACACGACGCAATTGCAGTTTACTAGATAGTCTGATAGTGCCAATACGATGAACTCTAACCCCTGTCCCATTGGGAATTTTAACCTGTAAATTTGGTGACGAGTCTAACTCGGTATCCAATAGAGAAGCATCATTAACAATATGCTCCGTACAACCTGAATCAAAAACCCAAGTAGAAGAAGTAACAGGAAATTTACCTGCCATATTGGTAGAAGGCTCGAGAGGAGAGGAATTGTTGGACATCACATCTCCACCCAGCAGCGCCTTCAGCTGCGCAAACTGAGAGGCCGAGAGGCCAGGTAGAGGGCTGCTCGCGGCATCCACTTGAGCCGCTTGAGGTTCAGGTCTCCCTCCTTTCTCAGTCCGACGATGCGGAGGATCCGCCTTCTCCCCATTCTTTGACGGGAATCCGATGAGCCAGTAACAAGTGTCCCGAAAGTGACCAACGTGCTGACAATGACTGCAACGCGGTTTACCATCCGGGTCTCGTTCCTTGTCGCGATCACCCTGAGGAATAGGGCGCTCATGACGTTTCCCCCCTGAGCTTGAAAGACGGCAGGTTCAGAACACGAAGGACGATTCTGAGTAATCTGCCGCTGCTGCTCGTCATTTATTACGAGCTGGTAAGCCTTTGCAAGGGACAGAACGAGCTTCATTGAAAGAATCAGGGACTTGACGGTAGTGAAAGCATCATCCAAGCCCACGAGAAAGTCAAATAGCCGCTCCCCCTCACGTACTGCACGTTGTCTACGCTTCACATCGCAAGTACAACCAACACAAGTACAATCCCATGATGGTGTAAGGACTTCAATTTCATCCCATAACCCTCGCAGCTTGGTATAGAAGGTCGAGACTGAGGTCTTCTCCTGTTGCAATCTACTTCTCGTGCCCTTCAACTCATAAAGACGAGATGAACTCCCTTGTCAAAAACGAGATTGTAAATCAATCCAAATTTCACGGGCTGTTTGAGCAAATCGAACACTGTTACGAGCCTTCTTTATCATAGAGGTGTTTAACTAACCCTTAACCATTGCATTACAGCGTCGCAAAGCCTCCTTTTCGGCGGGTGTCTTAGCAATCGGAAGGGTGCCATCAACAAAGCTGATTTTGTTTTTAGCAATAAGGGAATCAGTGATATCAACAACCCACTCACCGTAATTGACATCGGTGAGTAGCTCCGCAACGAACAGATGATTAGGGCTTTCGGACTGATGGAGTTGAAGATGAGATGGGAGACCGACATGATCAGCCGCGGTCGTTGCAGTCGATGCCGAGACCTTGGTAGAAGATTCATCGTCCGATACCATGAAACATAGAACTGTGGATCAGTCTAGCACAACTATGATACCATGAAAAATACGATAATGCGGAAGCAAAAATAAACGATACCAAGAATTACGTGGTATCCCCGTTCAATATGAACGGGACTAATCCACGGAGAGCTAGAAGCTCTCGGCTGAAGTTTTACTAGTCGGCTGTAGTTTCTTGGAGAGAGGCAGGAGGCAGCCAACTCTCTTAAACAAAGCAAACGAAAACCTAATCCCATCGACACATGAAACATGGGATTTAGGCAAATAACAGAAGGACCCCTACTAATATGGTAAATTACAATAGAGATTCCCAATATAGAGCACCCCGTGCAGCCAAGACATTAGCCAGATAAGGTTCACTGGCAATACCATCATGTTGCAATCCCCGAGTGAAAAGCACAGACCCAAGCCAGATGCATACACACACTTCAGAATTCCGACCTCACCTCTCAATCAATATGCTGTTTGTAAGACTCCTTCCGCTCCGCTTGAGTCCAGCAAAATCAAGCACTATTGCCTAACAAGAAAAATAAGAAGATTAGATTAACCCACTCAAACAAAGAAAAGGCATTTGGAATCGAGAAATGATTATTGATTGCCAATTCTGAACACACAACTTG